ATCTCAATATAGTCTCTTACTCCACTGGGTATTGATTTGACTTTTTCATTTGAACTGGCAGAACATGTGTAATATTCTCATATGAGTAAAAATTCCTAAGATATGCTTGTGAAAATCATGATTTTACCTGTTGCTGAAAATTTTTACATTTTTTTCTATGAACTCATCTTTCTTCTTTCTCATGGCAAATAAAACATAAAATTACATTTCAACTATTTTAAAGTATACAATCACCATATACAGTGCTATGCAACCCTCACCATTATCTAGTTTCAGAATGTTTCCATAATCCTAAAAAGAATCCCAAAGCCCATCAGAGGAAGCCCCCTCTCTTTTTTTTTTTTTTGGATCTGGTCATGAGGCCTGAACTCTGGGCCTGGGTACTGTCCCTCAGCTCTTCAGCTCAAGGTGAGTACTCTACCACTTGAGCCACAGCGCCACTTCCGGCCTTTTTTTTTTCTGCTTATGTGGTGCTGAGGAATCGAACCCAGGGCCTCATGCATGCAAGGCAAGCGCTCTACCATTGAGCCACCTTCCCAGCCCGAAGCCCTCTCTCTTCAACCCCTGGTAGTCACTACTGTGTTTTATGGATCTGCCTGTTTGGGACATTTTATATAAATAGAGCCATGTGATATATGGTCTTTAGTAACTAGATGCATTCACTTAGCATAATGTTTTCAAAGTTCAATCAATGTTTTAGTAATTTACTCATTTTATGGCTGAATATTTTAATATATGGATTTGGCACATTTTGCTTATCCTTCGTCTACTAGTGGGTGTTGGGGTTCTGGCTATGAACAGCACTGCTGGTGAGCACTCACATGCATGTTTTTGCTTCAACATCTGTTTTCAGTTCTCTGGGGTAAAATCATAGACACTATATATAGGTCACAGGGTAGGTTGTTCTAATTAGCTGTTGAGAAACCACCAACCTGTTTTTCACAGCAACCATTCTATTTTACTTAGATTCATTTAGAGTGAAAATACCCAAACTCAGAGAAATTCATGACTTTCCTGAGTTCCCTCAACTCAGCAATTACCAGAGGTTCTGGAGTACACAGTGGGACTGATATTCAAACACGGTTGTCAGAAGTCAAACCTACAGGGGCTGGGAAGGTGGCTCAGTGGTAGAGCGCTTGCCTTGCATGCCTGAGGCCTTGGGTTTGATTCCCCAGCACCACATAAGCAAGTAAGAAAAAAGCCAGAAGTGGCGCTGTGGCTCAGGTGGTAGAGCACTAGCCTTGAGCTGAAGAGCTGAAGGGTAGTGCCCAGGCCCAGAGTTCAGGCCCACTACCGGACCCAAAAAAAAAGAAGTCAAACCTACACTTCCCTGGCTCAGCTCTAAGTGAACCAACCTTGTCTGTAACCACTGATTCTTGGAGGCCAAACAATTGCTTACTTAAAATACCAACTTAAGGAATGGGTGGAGAGAAGATGTAATGGGAAAGAGTACTATAATCCTTCAAATTTTTGTGTTTTTGTTTTTGTTTTGTGTGAGTCCTGGAACTTGAACTCCGGGCCTGGGTACTTTCCCAAAGCTTATTTGCTCAAGGTTAGTGCTCTATCACTTGAGTCACAGCTCCACTTCTGGAATTTTTTGGTGGTTGGTTGGAGATAACAGTTTCATGGACTTTCCCTCCCAGACTGGCTTTGACTCACAATCCTCGGATCTCAGCCTCCTGAGTAGCTAGGATTACAAACCTATCCCTGGACCAGACTTTCAAATTTTAAAACAAATTCTAACATGGGAAAGGTAGACACTAAAATTATTCTGCTTACAAATGCTTCATGAGGCTTAAAGCTTTAATTTCAAATTTTGGAATTTTATTATAGTGAAAGTTTAATAAATCTCATTAGAAATGAGAAACTGCATTAAGAAAATGTCATTGTCTTCATTTAGTACATATTTATATGTTGAAACCCTAAACTTCATGACTGTGCCTCTAGCTAGAGATAGATTTTTAGGAAGTAAATTATGTTACTTACATTACAGTTAAATGAGCCATATGTTCATTAGGACTAGAGTCCTCAAAAGAAGAGAAACAAGCCAGGCATCGGTGGCTCACGCCTATAATCCTAGCTACTCAGGAGGCTGAGATCTGAGGATTGCGGTTCAAAGCCAGCCCAGGCAGGAAAGTCTGTAAGATTCCTATCTCCAATAAACCACTAGAAAGCTGGAAGTGGTGCTGTGGCTCAAGTGGTAGAGCTCTCGCCTTGAGCTGAAGACTGCAAGAACAGCGCCTGGCAGAGTTCAAGCCCCAGGACCAACAAAAAAAAAAAAAAAAGGAAATGGCAACAAGAATACACACAGACCAAAGGTCATTCAGGAACAAGGGAAATAGCCATGGGTGAGCCAGGAAGAGTCCTTTACCAAACAACCATCCGTTGGGACTTTATCTTCAACTTTCCACTACCCAGAATTTTGAGATAATAAATTTCTGTTGTTAAAGTCCATTCAGCCTATGATGTTTGTTATGGCAATTCTCATAGACATTAGCAAGGAGAAATCAATGTAATTTACAGCACAAAAAGTAATATCCAAGTAGTCTTAAGAAATAAAAATAGTACAATAATATCAGTTCATATGAAGTTCAAACTTCAAATAAAACTTAGGACACATTCAGTGACCATGACTTTTAAATGTAAATTTAATGTCTGGAGAAACAATTACATTACAAAAAGGGGAAAATCTTCAACTTAATGGGCTACAGAATTTAAGATAAGGCAAAATGCATAAGTAATCATCTTAAGTAAAGCAGCACAATCTAAATTTGTAATATAGTTGTCTGCTTCAGTTCTTGTTTTATCTTTGACTATAAGCAAGTAACAAATACTAGACAATATCTGAGATGACCAACACAAGATCCTAACATTGTTCTGGGCTTTCCAGCTAGTCTGGAGTTCAGCTTTCTCTTATAAGTGGGCTTACAAAGGGGGAAAGGATGAACAGAGACACCTTTCTTTCCTTTGGGATTCTGTGATGTGTCTGTCTAATGGGGAACATGGTACCTTACTTAGTGTCACTAAGCACCATACCTACATGCCCACAAATATAAATAAATGAATATACATATGCACCTGACAGGCCTTCCTAATATATATTAAAGAATACACAATCTTTTTAAAATGTATTTTCCAGTAAGTATTTTTATTTTTTGAATACTAAAATAAGGTTTTACTGAAAACAAAAAGTCTTTATGATCACTGTTGTTTAAGTATTACATCAATAGTAAAATAAACAGATTAATGTGTTGTTTAAAAATAATGCATCAAATATACACAAAATCTTGAGAGTGAAATAATTCAATTCATTTGCTAACAATGTTATTATAGAAACTGTAATATTCCTTCCTACAGTGTTATGTGAACAAGCAGCCTTTATCCACAGCTGTTAAAGATCTTCAACACAGAATGTATTCTTTACTAACTACTATGAGCCATGGTACTGTTCTAGGGCCTGAAGAATAGTGAGGAACAACTGCAGCAATGGTACTTACTAGGCATTATGCTGAAAATGAGTATACAACCTGTGAGTGGGGAGGGGAGGGAGGAACTGAGAAGGGAAGGGAGGAACTGGGACAGAAAGAGAGAAGAGGTGATATTTTCCAAAAAAAGTATTCATTATATTTATTTATATATATTTATTTATATTTATATAACAGTAATTCTTCTGTACATTACTTTTATGATAATAATAAAAATATTTTAAAAACAACAGAGAAAAAAAAGATTGCTACTCTTAGCACTTAAATCAGTATAGTAGAGCTGAGTACAGTAGCTCACATCTAGAATGCCAACACTTCGGCACTTCAGAAGCTGAGGCAGGAGGTTCATGAGTTCAAGGCCAGCCTAAATTACACAGTGAGTTTGAGAACAGTCTGGGACATAAGCAAACTGTCACACACACACAAAACAAATTTTTAAACAGTATATAGACTCTAATCTCTTGATTGGATTAAATATCAGAATCTTGTATGTTCACAGAATGTTTATTAAGAGTTAAAACAGTAAATTATATTTACTGATGAAAATAGTATGTCCAGGGCTAGCAAGGTGGTTTATACCATAATCCCAGCAATCAGGAGGCAGAAGCAAAAGCATCATGGTTTGAGGTCTATTGGGATAACAGCAAGACTCTATTAAGAAAAATTCTAGAAACAAAAGGGCTGGGGCGCATGATTCACAGGTTAGAATATCTGCAAGCACAAGGCCTTTGGTTCCATCCCCTGTACCACAGACTAAGAGAAAATAGTACATACAATTTGGCACAAATTATTTAGCGCTATGGTTCACTGATTTTGCCCCCACCCCCACTTGCAAGCTCAAGAGTATTGAATAATCCTCCCCCTCAAAGTTAATAGACACAGCATGCCTACAAAATCAGACAAAGCAAACGGCAACAGTACAATAGCCCTGCCAAGTGAATCAAGGTCTGGCACATGCCTCATGCATGGTAAATAATAACAAACAGAACAAAGACCCTTTGTTCTGTCTTCTATGCATTTCTAGCCTACAGAAGCTAACCTAGCTCCCTAGAAGGAATGCTCCAGCTGAAAGCATTGAGAAAACTCCCACAAACAATACTTCCTCTAGAAAACAGTAACAGAGACCGTAGCTGTGCCCATTCAAATTGTAAGCTAAGTAAATATTTTTCAGGATGTGCCAAAGCCTTAACTCTATGATTTAAAATTAAGTGGCTAATACTAATCACTGAAAGACTTATGTTTATATCAAAAGTAGGATGGTACCATTTAAAAATGCTGCAACATTACATTTAAACATCTATTGGCTTAAAATTACTTTTCACAATTTCAAGTAACAGTTTTGTTAGACACAATATACATCCTTGACAAAGTACCCCGCAAGCTCCTCTGGCTGGGTGCCCTGTAGGGAGACACCCTTGAGCAACTCTGAAATCTGTTCATGCATTCCAGAAGGCCTACCAGCATCTCCAAATCACAGGAGACACCTGGGTGCTGCTGACTCAGCACTTCTCCTACCTGAAGCTTCATTTTCCATCGGGGAAGCACCAGGGTGTTTTCAGGGCAACTCCCCTCTGCAGCATGGTGCCTGAGCTTCACCCTGGGGGTCAGGCTCTGCCAGCACAGCAGCTGCCGGCCAGTAGTCAGAGAAAGCACATGCCATGCCCCCCACCAGAGCACTGGCCGAAGCCTTCAGCACTGCATGCCAGTGATCAAACTAGACTAACTACTTCCTCCAGCTGATTTCCAAGGTCCGAGATAGTGCATGAATAATTCATGACAAGTCCATTCCATCAACCAGTGCTGCTTTTGCTCTCTGGTCCCCTACAACAATATACAATAGAAAGATTCTAAGTGTGCTAGTGAGTGTACAAGGAATGGAAGTTCAGTCAATGAAGCAAAAGCTTCTGGTCTGTTTGCTTTTCTGGTATGTTAACCTATCACCCAGAATTACTTGAGACACTTTTTTTAAAAATGTACAAGAGGTAAATTATTAACCACAGATGTCTGAAAGAACAAGGACAATTTTTTCCTCCATAAACCTGTCCCACATAGGGCTAGATGTAGGAAAAGTAGCAGGCTTGCGTGTGAGCACTAGGTCAGTATTTACATCTAGGGAAAAAAGAAGTCTGCTCCTGAAAACCAAGGAAAATCACCCCAGGCTGGGGGAAGGGTATCAATACCAGGAAACAAACTGCTTCAAAGGGGTTTTTTCCTGGTCTTAAGCTATAAACTTTTTATATCAATGGTAGTCTTCTAGAAAATGGATGACCATTCTCCCCTCTCCAATTCTCCCAATTTGTCAATGCCTACACATTTCCAAATGACAGACATTTGAAGCAGTCACTTCTCTGCAACTAAAAACACAATTCCTGGCCAGACGCCGCAAGTGGTTTATGCCTGTAATCTTAGCTACTCAGGATGCTGAAATCCAAAGGTCACAGTTCAAAGCCAGCTAGGGCAGGAAAGCCCATAAGACTCTTATCTACAATTAACCACCAAAAGCCAGAAGTGGAGTTGTGATAGAGCACTAGCCTGAGCATAAATAAATAATATATATATGGAAAGGTGGGGGGGGGAGGGGGACTTAGGGACAGCACCCAGGCCTGGAGTTCAAGCCCCAGAATTGGTACTGGCACACGTGCGCATACATGCACGAATACACGCATGCGCGTGCGTGCGCGCACACACACACACACACACACACACCACACACACAACACAAATTTACAAAATAAACCCAAGATGCAAAGGCCTATCTCAGCTCTGCCTCTAAAAGTCCAATCACCACCTGTTTCATACATCCTCATGTTTATCTAACTGCTACTTTGTTTAAGAAACAGTTCTTTTTCATACTCATTAGAAATAGCTCAAGCTTTTGTTCCCTCTGTAACTTAATTTTCTGGCTATGAGAATGTTGCTCTTAGCTGCTTGTAATTTACTAGCTGATTTACAAACTAGTTTTTATGTGCTTCCTTGGACCTGTATCTCTTTTCAGTTCATTGTTATAAAACTTCTATTTTATAAAACTCAAGATCTTATTAAACTATTTTACAGTACTCAGGAATTATTTTTGTGAAAATAAGTTAATTTCTTAGAAGAAATTACATTCATCCCATTTGCACACTGGGCCTTTCTCTGCCAGCCTGCCATTAGTGACAAGGGCACCCTTACCCCATGTTCTCTTCGGGAAAACTCTCCATTTGCCCCTAAAAATGAGCTTTTTATAGGTGCTGCATTCTCCGTGCAGGAGGAGAAGGCATGGAATGTGGTAAAGGGAAAAAGGAGGCTTTGACATGTTGAGTTCTTTAACTTGAAGGACCCTGGAAAGCCACAGAAGAAAGTCTCTGACCCTACCTGGCCCTTCTCTCTGCTGCTCTCTTTCTTTCCCAAGACAGAACACAGAAACTAGAGCCCCACTCCGCAGAGCCAGCTGTAAAACAGACAAATATGGCTTCAATCCTTCCCTGCCTTTTTGAGTAAGAGCTAACCATTAAAAATAAAATTAAAAAAAAATCTCTTACCAGCCTTGTCTGAAATCCTAAGATTCTCATACCCTTAGGAAAGGAATGCTACCCACTGAAGTCAGGAAGAATCTGCATAGACCAGTTTCAGTCCTCACTTCAATCAGTCAATTACATTAGATCCCACTTTTCTGTTCAAGCTCATTTCCATATAGTTGGCCATCTTCCTGGAGCTTAAGCATAAAAAAACAGACCTTTTTCTGTGGGTCTTCACTCTGAAGGATCCACTGTCACCCAAAACTTGGATTAAAAAAAATCTTAGGACTGGGGGGATGGCTCAAATGGTAGAGCACCTGCCTAGCAAGTGCAAGGTTCAGAGTTCTAACCCCAGGATCACTAAAAATAAAAATTAGGAAGTTTCTTATAAGGCTGTAGGCCATAATTCCTTTTTTTTTGTAGGGGGGGAGTGAAAAGGGGGGGGTACAGGGCCCGGTTGAGTCCTGGGACTTAAATGCAGAGCCTGGCCTTTTTGGTTGTTAATTGGAGATGAGTCTCATGGACTTTCCTGCCCACTCTGGCTTTGAACTTCTATTTTCTGATCTCAGCCTCCTCAGTTAGCTATGATTACAGGTTTGAGCCACTAGCACCCAGCTAACCATTACTATTAAACTGGTAAGGAAAGGTTATCACCTTTTCCTACCCTTACTGTTTCTCAATGCCTTATAGGACTCCAGGCCCCTGGGTCAGCCAGGTTTTTCTCTTTCCCTTTGCCATTCCCTTACCTACCACCTAAGTGATGGAAGGGGAGATCCTCACACAACGCTCACACTGTGTCCCCAAACAGACCTGTTTCTTCACTGTTTCCCTCTCGTCCCTCCTCACTCCCTGTTAGCTGAGGAAGGTAAGAAGACCAGTTCTATTCCCACTCACTTCCTTCACACATACCGATACACTAAAACTATCCTCTCTAGCATGCTTTCCTTGTCCGAGAGCAGGGAGGGTTCCCAGCGCCATCCAGGCTACCAGGGTGTCCAGTATTGTGTTCACTCTCCTTTTCCTGCACAGTATAAATGACAAATGAAAGCTCTGATTTCTCTCAGATCATTCTGTTTTCTTTGCTGAACTTATTTGTCCTTCATACTGATAAGTCTAAATGGATAGATTTTCTGAAAATTGGCTTTACTTTGCTTTAAACTCAAACTATATTACTTAAGAAAAACAAAACAAAAAAATCCTAATATGGCCTCGACAGAAATAGTTCCAATTCTAAAGACTTATGGAACAAAAATGCCTAAACTAAAGCACTGTAGCACAGGGGCTAGTGGTCCTTCCTTTATTCCTCCTCCTCAGCAAAGCCATGATTCTCTTCCACATTGCCCCTCTACTGGTGCCTGCCCTTTGTCTCAGAAATGCTGCTCTCAGTATTCCTCACTAAGTGGACCAGCCATCAAGACCTCACTTCACCGGAATCCTGAGGTGACATCTGCCTGGGTCACGTGGGAAATACCTTCCTCACCCTGAGAAAGAACAATAACAGTTGTTTACTAACACATAGAGCACGATCTACTCATGGATGGTATTGAGGTCAGAAAGAATCTTTGGCTTGGAGTACACCAGTGGTGCACTGGATCAGGCACATCTGAAGCCCGCTCTTTTACATATGTGTATCCATTTATATGATTTCTCAGTCTGTACTTGCAGCTGAAAGCATTTTAAAAAACATTCGGACTATTTATAAAATCAAACACGGTGTGTGTGTGTGCGCGCGCGCGCACAATGTGCCGGTCCTGGGGCTTGAACTTAGGGCCTGGATGCTGTCTCTGAGCTTCTTTTACTCAAGGATAGTGCTCTACCACTTAACCACAGCTCCACTTCAGTTCTGGCTTTTTTTTTTTTTTGGTAGTTTAGTGAAGGTACATTTCACAGACTTTCCTGCCTGGGCTGGCTTCAAACAGCAATCCTCCAATCTCAGCCTCCTGAGTAGCTAGGATCATAGGCGTGAGCCACTGGTGCCCAGTACTTTAAAAATTAACACAGAACTGCAAACATTAAAGAATCAAGTCTGGTTAAGGGTCCTTAGAAAAAGCAATACTCCTCAAAACTAACAAGAGATGTAGATCACATGGTGTTCATCTGCCATCCCAGGACTCAGGAGGGATTTGTAGTTCAAAGGCAGCATGGGCTAACTTGTCTCAAAAGAATAAAAATAATTATAATAATCCCACAAACAACAACAACCAGAGTCCTAAAGATGATCTTGTTTAACCCTATCTGGAGCCTGAATCCTGTAATACCGCAGCCCTAGCTGTTTCTCCTCAGCACTCCCAGTTAACAGAGTTATTTAGCATTCTTAATGACCCACCAGTTTGGCCTGAGATGATGTTAGGAGCACTGGATTACAAAGCAAATTAAAAGGAAGCTGCACAGTTTAGAACAAGGTGGCCATCAGAGGAAGTAGCATAGCATGAACATGTGATACCACACAAACAACAAATTGCACTAGAGTATTTGTGAACAGTTAATTGCATGATGTGATCAGCACTTACCCTAGTTATTAACATTTTTTCTATGGACTACACATATACACAATTCTACCTCAAGCTTCAGGGCCTCCCACTCCTTATCCTGAGGATGTTCATATAAATATAACATAAGAAGAGAACTTCTGCTGTAAGAAGGGCCTATAAAGTGTGAACTGAACATTCACATGTTACCTATAAGAAGCTAAACTTTTACAAAGTCCTTCTTATTTCCCCCTCAACCTTCATTTTTGTAGTCTCTGTTCTCTTGTTGAACACCAACAAGTATTAGAATTACTGGCCAATATCACATCAATCCTTTAATTTAAAATGACCATGTTACTTGCACACACTTTGTTTTCTCTATGACTGCCAATGATTACCATCTATTCCTTGACTTATATCCTCATAAGTTTCCCTCTGTGCTGGGTTTAAAATTCCCACCAACAGAGTTATTCTGGAAGACCTTAAAACCTACACAAGTACTAGTAAAGGTATTTCCCCAAGAACAGCCTGTCTAGGAGCTGATACATGTCAGGTGATGGATTCACATTACAGACCAGGCATTTCAAAATGAATTCTGATTCCTCCTGGTTGGGATATGACAATAGAGTTGATCTCTCATCACTTATACTATTCCCTATGCAAAACTGGTATGGAAGAAAAAGATAAAATGTTCTAAAATGCAGCAAGCTCCAAGAGGACTGGTCACTATACACTGTCATAACAAGGGTGTGTCTCAGGACAGCTGGGGAGGCACTCCAGTGGTACCTGTCATACGTCTTTTTTCTTCTCTGATTTAAATTTTCATCTACCTATCTAGGGCTTGCTTTACTCTGAAATATCCCTCCTTCTACTTTCTTGTT